GCTCAGGTGTCTCCAGGTTCTTCACACTTTGGAGCAACCAGCCCTTCCTCTTCTCTCTCTCATCACCAGGACAATGGGAGTCTATGGGACATGGTTGAACTCTGTCCATTTCTTCATTGCTGCCTTTTCCCCTCTTCTACTCACCAGTAGAACAACGTGGTTGCAAGGAAGCTTAAATGCCTGCTGGTGTGTTCCCTTTGAGTTTCAGTATCAGAGGGGCTAACTCCCTATCTTTTGCTGTTGATTTAGTTACACTTGCTTTAAATCCCTCTCTCTCTCTTTTTTTTTTTTTTTTGAGATTGTATTTGCTCTTATTGATGACTTCTTTCAAACAGCATTTTTCCACTTTTATTTCACTAGTCATATGATATTTAATTAAATGACCTACTGCAATAATCTTTGTTTTGGAGAAAAAAAAAAATCAGACTAACTCTGCATAGGTATCCAACACAACTGGTATGAGCCCAAGTAACTGACCAGTCAAAAGTGAATCTTAGAGAGGCAATGAATGCTGTCAATCACACTAATAGTCTTTTAGTAGGAGGGTTGTGAGAACTTTGTGAGATTTTTTTAGATCCTTGTTTGGTTAAAACTATCTTCATAGTTACTTTCTGCCATTACTATATTTGGAAAGAGTGATTGCTAAAAAGTGAAGTTGAATAAACAAAAACTTCTTTAATAGCTGTGGGTTGTAGAAAAAAATATCAGACATAATGTTTTATCATTTAAGAAAATTTTTGAGCTGCCTTAAAGTCCTCTTTTTACAAACAAACTTTTAATTTTAGAATAGGTTTATATTTATAGGAAGTTACAAAGATACTACATAGAGTTCCCTCACCCAGTTTCTTAACATCTTACATTATTATTCTACATTTGTCACAACTAAGAAATAAACATTGAAACATTAATATCAACAAAACTCTATATTCAGAAGCCACTAGTTTTCCTAAGAACTTTTCTTTTCTGTCCCATTCAGGATGTTGTTGTTGTTGTTTAGTGCCGTCGAGTCGGTTCCGACCCATAGCGACCCTGTACAGGGTTTCCGAGGGTGTAAATCTTTATGGGAGTAGAAAGACTCATCTTTCTTCTGTGGATTGGCTGGTAGTTTCGAACCGCTGACCTTAAGGTTCACAGCCCGATTCGTAACCACTACCAGAGCTCCATTCAGGATACCACATTATATTTAGTTGTTGTGCCTCCTCAGCCTCCTCTGGTCTGTCACAAATTCTCAGACTTATCTTGTTTTTCATGACCTTGAAAGTTTTGAGGAGTCCTGGCCATGTATCTTGTAGAATGTCTCCCTTTTTGGGCTTGTCTGATCTTGTATTCATGGACAGATTTGGCTTCTGAGTTTTGTGGGAGAACACCACAGAGATGAAGTACATGTCTCAGCACATCACATTAGTGGTACATGCCTTTGATATGACTTAGACATTGATGTCAACCATACTAGTTGTTTATGGGTTTTTCAACCCTAAACTTACTTATCCACCCTCACTCCCCCACTTTTTACTTTCTATTATTTGGAAACAAGTCATTATTCATAACACACACAAAGAGTAGGGATGGGGTGGGGGTGGGGTGGGAATGAATCTCTATGATCTGCAAAGATAAAATATTTGAAATTGCTTTGTAGGGAACAGTTGTCTCTTTCCTCCCATGTATTTATTCAGTCATTTAAATGGATGCAACGATATTTATTTTATTGGGTCATCATCTAACAATAGTTATTTTGTTGTTCAAATGGTTCCACCTTTGGCCATTGGGAATTCTTTAAGGTTGAGTCCTGTATCCC